TTTAGCTTTCAGTAATCATTCTGCGACTAAGCTTTTACCTAGCCTAATGACTTTGGGAGTTGCAGAGTGCTAACAGACTACTGGTACTATAGGCTGTCAAAAGTTAAATGAACCAAAACTCAAGCTAAATGCTACATTTAACAAAAGAGAAGCCCAAGCTATAAATAAGAATACAGTAGCTAGAAGCTAAAAAGTCATTAGGCTAGGTAAAAGCTTAGTAGCAGAATGTTTACTGAAAGCCAAACTTAGCAAAAAGCTATGTAAAAATACAAAGTACCAGAGAAGTACTTAACGGCTAAAAGTAGAATAAAAAGACTAAACTAGAGCAAGTACGCTGAAGCAGATTTAAAAAATAAAAGTTTTGGAGACACTGTACAGATCTCGACGTATTTCTATGTAGAACATATAACTAAAAGTTCACTAATTAAAAAAGGTAAAAGCTTCCAAAAGCAAAGTCATAGAGCCATCTCCTGAACAAGCTGAACGTTTGACACATCAATAGTTATAACATTTAATAAGAGAATAGTGTGAATGCTCAAAGTGCATGTGCACATTTACCTCCAAGCACTGCAGCATGGCAAACTGAGGAGGCAGCCGCTGCAGCTGGTTGGAGGACAGATTGATATGGGTGACCAGTAACAGCTGGTCCAGGTGACATAATATGGTCAGGTTCTGTTGGATAAAACCAGAAGACTCGTTTTAAAAACATAGTTTTTACTGAAAACAGTTCTGTTGTGTCATTTGCTCTTTCAGCTCTGAACCTGCTCAGAGATGCTGAAGACTCGCACTTCTGCGTACTCCATTTTCAGAATGGTGTTTTCAATCATGAACTTGCTGCACAGGTCGCTGTAATATGCAGAGCGCTTGGAATCCACCTCCTGCAGGAAACAGAGAGCGCTGAACCAGTGATCTGCACCAACACGCGTCCCATCACCGTGGCTGGAGGGTACTCACTTTGAGTGTCTGGAAGTGAGCAAGTGTCTCCTTCTCGTATCCGAGAGGATCTAGTGCCCTCATCAGGAGGATAATGGTCAGCAAGCACCCTTCAGAGGCAAAGAGAACAGTAAGATAGCTGCATGAGAGCAGAAAGACCAGCAGCAAACCTTCAAACTGGATGTTTTATTTGTTAAAGTCATGATCTGTACCAACATTTATTAAGTGGCTCCAGTTCTTGTAGCTGGTGGACTGATAGGAGCTCCGACTGCAGCACTGAGGTCTTCTCTACTGAGAGCTCACTCCTGCACAGAAAGAACATCATTTGTTCTTATTGACAATTAAAAAAAAACAGCTACATTATATTAAAGACCTCCTAGCATTTCTTAAGGGAATGCACATTGACACCCCCCCAACCACCAACATCGTATGAGCAGCAATGGTTTTGGTCAAACAATGAAAATAATGCCATGAGTAATCTTATGTGATATCATGAGAAGTCACACGTCGTGTTGTAAGTGGCTCTCAACTACAGCAGCAAACTTTAGGACCATATCTGGAAAACATTTGGATGTTTTTAACTTTAACTTGCTGAGGTGGCCTTCTTCAACTGGGTTGTCTTGGAAGGTTTATCAGTTGTAGAGGTATATCCATTGATGGTTTCCTGAAATCAATCTGTCCATCATCTTTACCCACGTCTTCCTTTTTGGGTCACTGGTGCCCATATCCAGCAGTCACTGTGTGAGAGGCGGGGGACACCCTGGACAAGTCTCCAGTCCAGGCCTGTCGCAATAAACAATAAATCAATTAACCGCATGATAAATAAAAATGATCGACTTCATTTTCATTTATCAGCTTCATCGTTTCTTTGTGTCTCTCTCTTTCTACTGAAGACACTGGATGACAAAAGGATCAACTCCGGTGCTCTTCACTGGCCCTTCCCTTTCTCTTTAAAATCCATTTTAACCGTCCAAAATTGTGTTTTTAGATTGTTAAAAGCAGCTGAGATGAGAAGCTAAGATACGAGCTAAGCTAACAGGCCGACCTCACGAAAAAAAACTCGGTCTTGTCAAAGCTCCAAAATTCACGGTTGAAACCCGAGCCTTCTTCTAAAAAGTTGTTTTTCTCTGCAAAAAGAAGCAGAGAAGTTGTTTACTGATTTTTTATTAAAAGCTTTGTGTGAAAAATGCTAAAGAGCTCAAACCACACCGAGCGTCCTCATTTTGAAAACCGATAAAAAGAAAAGAGACAGCCCATGCCACGTCAAGGGGCCTCCCTCTTATTTTTCTTAAAGAGATATGCTGCTCACTCCCTCACTATCCATCCTTTGGTTCAAACAGTCTTACACTGCCATCCAGTGGGCGAAAAAATGTACTACACGCAAAACAAATTAACCAACATTTCTTCTTAAATTTGACAATAATTACTCATTCTTGTCAAATTTCAAACATTATCATTAATCGCAATAATTTCTGAGACAATCGCCTAGCAAAGTTTGTAATCGTGACAGGCCTACTCCAGTCTATCACAGGAACACATGGATGCAGAGACAGACAACCATTCACTCTCTCACTCATACCTCAGGACAATTTAGAGTTACCAATCAGTCTAACATGCATGTTTTTGGTCTGTGGGAGGAAACTGGAGTATCCATTCATCCATCCATCTTTTACCCGCTTCTTCCATTTTGGGTCATGGGGGTCACCGGTGCCCATATCCAGCAATCACTGTGTGAGGGGCAGGGTACACTCTGGACAGGTCGCAAGTCCATCACAGGGACACAAAGAGACAAACAACCATTCACTCTCTCACTCACACCTAGAGACAATTTAGAGTTACCAGTCAGTCTAACATACATGTTTCTGGTCTGTGGGAGGAAACCGGAGTACCCAGAGAAAACCCACGTATGCACAGAGAGAACATACAAACTCCACCCTGAAAGGCCCTGGGACAGGATTCATCCCAGCGACCTTCTCACTGAGAGACAACAGCTCTATCAACTGTGCCACTGTGCCGTCTACTATCTATCCCATCCCAAAACAGTCATTTTGATATTTTTGCTTTATTGTCCGTCCCTTCTCCTCTCCATCCTTCTCAAAGGCCTGACCTTGTGTCTATTGTGTGGGATCATTATGTCACAGGTGACCTTCGAACCCATGGCCAGCTCTGGCTCTTGACCTTAGCTTGCAGCTGTGGTGAAAGTTGGCATTATTTCCCTTGCGATCAAAGCACCATTAGCATTCACTGTAAAGAATGTAACACTGAAATTTATCAAGTAGTTCATGAGATATTTTGCTAACAGATGGAGGTGACTCCAAATAAGTTCAAACAGTTCAGACAAAGTTCCTGCACAATCTGTTTGCCCTCAGAACATGGGGATCACTTTCAGCTACTCCCACACCAACGTTGGGTCGATATCTGTAAAATGAACGATCACCCTTTGTGTGTTCTAAAATGGCTGTGGCAGCCATCTTGAAAGAGGTTGACTCCAAAAGCTGTGTAGATGTTCACTTGACGATTGCTTTCTAAAATTTCATTAAAATGTGTCCACTGGTTTATGAAATATTTTGCAAACATAAATACACTCATGGCTTTTTGTCCGCAGGCCTTTAAAATGTGTGGTCGGTTTACAAAGCAGTACCTGAACAGCTCTTGATCTGTGGCCGTGTCCCGACACCAACTTTCAGCTCGACCTTTGGGGGTAAAGGTTTAGAGTGAATCAAAGCTTTCTTCTGCATCCTGCAGCTATAAGGACGTAACGAGTCCAGACCGTGCTGATTACCTGTGTAGAGGGCACAGTCCTTGTGAGTGTGTCTCTCAGTCCAGTGCACGGTCAGATTGTGCTCATTGGAAGTGTCGCTGATCGTTCCAGGAGGGAGATCGCAGATCTGAGCAGGTGTCAAGGTCAAGAAGAGTCGAAACAGGAAATATTCATTCCAGGTGAGAAAACGTCTGGACATAAATTAGTCACTTCTAAACCAACGCGCCCAGAATCAAAGTGTGACTGGACATAGTCAATGTTCGGCTTAGCTCCAGAAGAACCCTGAATAAAGGAACATGTTGGTGGAATAACTTGTAGGCTCCACTTTTAATAGGATTTCAGAAAGTATTCTCATTTCGTAATGACTCAGTTTAGTCCGGTTTCAAAAAACGGCATTTAAAAAATAAACAAGAAAATTTTCTGCAAAAATGCGGTGTGAACGGAATGACTGCTGCAGAAGCAGGAGCTGTTCAAGTTAAACCAAGCAGAACAAAAAGTTAAATTAGCTAAACAGTAGTTATTAGCTGAAATAAGCCAAACGATAAAAAAGTCCAGGTTTAATAAAACAGTATACTTTGCAAAACAGTAGATTTAACAGGACAGGTTCTTACATGAGCAAAATTGTAGCTTAAAGTAGAAAAAGACACACTGCAACTTCAAATCAGCAGAACAGTAGCTAAAAGGTAAAAGAAGCAGAATGGTAGCTAACAGCTAAAAGTAGCAGCACAATAGTTAAAAGCAGCAAAATGGTAACTAAATGTAAAGAGGTGAATAAAGCTAGAAATAGAAGGAAGGAAGCTAAAAGATAAAGCAGCATGGGAAACAAAAAGAACCAGCTGGAGCAGATGTCAGACAGAACAATGTTCACGACGGAAGTGAACAGATTGCATACGGGGAGTTTTATTTTCCATCCATCATCTTTAGCCGCTTCTTCCTTTGCGAGCTGCGGGGGTCACTGGTGCTCATATCCAGCTATCACTATGCAAGAGGTGAGGGACATCCTGGACAGGTCTCCAGTCCATCACAGGGCCACACAGAGACAAACAAGACAAACAACCATTCACTCTCTCACATCTAGAGACAATTTAGAGTTACCAATCAGTCTAACATGCATGTTTTTGGTCTGTGGGAGGAAACTGGAGTACCTGGAGAAAACACACACAGCACGGAGAGAACATGCAAACTCCACCCAGAAAGTCCCCTAAACTGGGATTTGAACGGGGCAACCTGCTCGTTAAAAGGCAGCAGCTCTACCAACTGCTCCACCGTGCTGCAGTTTTATTTTCAACATTAAATATGAAAAGTTTGAAACAACAAGTCATAGCACTGACACTATTCTCGATTGAGGAGAACGTTCTAATATATGATCACAGCAGAACAAAGTGTGCAATAGTTTGAGTCTAAAAACTGTACAGAAGTGTACGACAGCAGCTCACACAGTTAAGACTGAATGTGAATTAAAAACAAACCATAAAAGTTTGTCAAATATGACAAATATGACTTCTGGTAAGATGGCGCCCGTGTACGTGGCTTGCAATCCATGATGGTGTTCGGATTATTTATGTTTTGTTCGTTTTTTATCTGTGACATAAACTCACTGCTGGTGTATGACCGACAACAGCTTCTGGATCTTCGTTTTTCTGTCACCGATGTCGCTTATTTGGATAATTATGAGCGTACCTCTGGACACGCCCCCCCCCCCCCCCCCCCACCCCCCGCTGGCGAACGTGCCTGTTTACCTCCGCTGCGCTCCTCACCTCCCTGCCCGGAGACTTCGCTGCAGACGCCGGGGAAAACGTGCAGGGCGGCTGGTAAAACTTAAAGCCCTGCACGCTGCATCTTCCTCTTCAGCTGGCGGTCAGGGTTTCCATCGCCAGCTTCTCACGTGCCCGGACCAGGTAAACAACGGAGGGGCTGTTATTGAAAACCTGCAGCCATTGCCGCGCGCTAACTTCACCGCTGCTGGATCCACTTTGAACAGTATCCGGATGTGTTTGGTCAACGCAAGATCTATTACCAACAAAACTTCTATCCTCAGGGATTACTTTCAAGAGTACGAGTTGGACTTTTGCTGCATCACAAAGACTTGGATGTCTCAGGGTGAGTCCAGCGCCTTGACGGAATTATTGCCACCGAACTGTCTGTATTTTAACGCACCGCGGCCATCAGGCCGGCGAGGTGGTGGATTATTAACAATATGTGCATTAATTATTATTAATGCACATATTGTTTATAATAATAATATTATTAACAATATTAACAACAAAAACAACTTTTGACTGTAAACAACTGCCCATCCCAGTTTCCCGCGCCAGCTTTGAGCTGAGCGTCTTTGAACTCGGCCATTCGCCTTCGACTTTATGCGCACTCGTCTACCGCCCACCTCGGTCTAAGGATTTCATAAATGAGTTTTCTGACTTCTTGGCTGAAATCACACCAAAATATAATCATGTTTTCATTTTTGGGGACTTTAATTTGCATGTGTGCTGTCCTGAGAAGCCCTTGGTTAAGGACTTTTTAGATTTATTGGACTCATTTAATTTAACTCAGCATGTAAACGGTCCCACCCAAGAGTGTGGACATACACTGGACCTTGTTTTAACTCATGATGTGACTGTTAGTAATCTTGAAATTGATGATAATGTTTTTTCAGACCACATGCCAGTCCGGTTTGAGTTCACCCTCCCCCATCTAACTCCTAAGCCGTGCATTCCTGCACATAGTAGCCGGGCCATTAACCACTTCACTGCCGCACGTTTCACAGATGCCTATAACTCTGAAATGATCATTCAGCCCCCTGTGTTTCTCACCACCACGGAGGCGCTGACATCCCAGTTCATCCCTGTCCAGCCTCTCCTGAAAAAAAAAAACCTTGACCCCTCAGTCGTTTCCAACTTCCGGCCTGTCTCCAGACTCCCATTTGTTTCTAAACTAGTGGAGAAAATAGTCGAGTCCCAGTTGAAGTGCTTCCTGGAGGATCACGCCATCTTAGAGCTATTCCAATCTGGCTTTAAACCTCTCCACAGCACTGAAACTGCCCTACTGAAGGTTTTTAATGACATCTTCAGATCCACAGATACAGGTGATTCTGTGCTGCTTGTCCTATTGGACCTCACAGCCGCCTTTGACACCATTGACCATGAGATCCTCATTGCTAGGTTGGAGCAGTGGGTGGGCATCACAGGGTCAGCCCTCAGTTGGTTCAGATCTTATCTCACTGACAGATCCTTTTGTGTCTCCATCAAGGATTTTAGTTCTGCAGTGGCAGAGCTTAAATGGGGGGTTCCGCAGGGGTCCATCCTGGGTCCCTTCCTATTCTCACTATACCTGCTGCCACTTGGCGTTTTTTTCCGGAAACACAACATGCCCTTCCACTTCTATGCCGACGGCTGTCAAATTTACTTCCCCCTAAGACATAATGGCACATGCTCTAGTCAGCCTCTGCTCGACTGCCTGGCTGACATCAGGGACTGGATGGTTTTAAACTTCTTAAGTTTTAATGAAAAGAAGTCTGAAGTCATGTTGTTCCCTCCCAATGACACACAAAGCAAACCACAAACCACTGCATCGATCTTTCTACTCTACCCTCGTCAGAAAAACAGAGTCACTAATTTGGGAGTGATAATGGACCCTTCCCTGAAACTTAACAATTATGTAAACATGATTGTTAAATCATGCTTCTTCCAACTGAGGCGGCTGTCTAAACTGAAGCCCATATTGTCCAAAAAATAACCTGGAGACAGTAATACATGCATTCATTATATCTAGGCTTGATTACTGCAATTCACTCCTGTTTGGTATCAGTCAGACATCCATAACACGACTACAACTTGTCCAGAATGCAGCAGCCCGATTTTTAACCAGTACAGGCAAAAGAGAGCACATTACTCCAGTTTTGGCCTCACTGCACTGGTTACCAGTTCACCTTAGAATCCAGTTCAAAATACTCCTGTATGTCTACAAATTGCTGAACGGTTTTGCGCCCCCCTATCTCTCTGATCTGCTACAACCGTATGTCCCACCACGTTCCCTGAGGTCAGCGGACAAATTGCTCCTCAGCTCCAGGAACTCGTCTTAAGCGCAGAGGTGACAGGGCCTTCTCTGTAGCAGGACCAAGACTTTGGAACGAGTTACCTCTGCTTGTCAGACAGGCCCCCTCCCTCTCGGTTTTCAAATTCCGTTTAAAAACTCACTACTATTCAGTAGCTTTCAACACCAGAGGTTCTGTGTTTTGAACCTGTACGCTCCACACTGGTTAGTCGTCATATTTATTATCTGCATCATTTTTATGTCTATATTTCTGATTTACTTCATTTGGTATTTTGCTTTGTGTGTTACCTGTTGTTCTGTCTGTACAGCACTTTGGTTGGCCTTGTCGCTGTTTTAAGTGCTCTATAAATAAAATGGTATGGTAAGGTAAATATTTTACACAAATCCAATAAAGTTGTCAGGTCTTCTGGACACATTCTTCTTGGTTGAAAAGTTTAATCTTTCATGTGAAAGACTTCAAGTCTGAGGCCTGCCACAAAACTCAGTCCTATAAATAGCACCTTCTCAGTTTGTTGAGACATCCAGAACGAACTTTTCACATGTAAAAGGAGGACCATCAGTGGAACAATCGATCGTTAGTGCCCTGATCGTTAGTGCCCTGTTCAACGCTTGCTATTCACAGAACTAGCCTGAGACAAACCTGGCCAAAGTGGTTCAAAATATCCTGATGCATGCTGAGTCATCCAGGTAAATAAATCCAAAAAAGTTAAACCAGGTCATCTGGACAGATTCTTCTTGGTTGAAGCGTTTCATCTTTCATCCACTTTGAGAAGGTGCTGTTTATAGGACTGAGTTTGTCGCATGGCCTCAGACTGATGAAGTCTTTCGGATGAAAGACGAAAAGTTTCACTGAAGAAGAATCCATCCAGATGACTTAACTTTTAAAATGTATTTACCTGGATGATCGAGCATGCATCAGGATATTTTACATATAGTACAAAATGACTGAGCGTTTTGTTAATATAATAAAAATAAAAGCAGTAATCCCATCTCCTCCATCAGTGGTCCTTAAAATGCTTTTATAACTTCTCCACCTCTGCAGAACTGAATTATCTGGACAATGATGAAACATCTAGC